AGGGGGGGGGGGGGGGGGTGGGGGTGGGGGGGGGGGGGGGGGGGGGGGGGGGGGGGGGGGGGGGGGGGGAGGTCCTGAAACCCCCTTCGATTTCTGAAAAAAAAATTACACCAATGATCACCTCTTGAAATTATAAATTTGTCTAGTCGAATCAGAGTTCCTCAAATGCCAAAATGACATCTCAAATGCCAAAATTCAGCGGGACACGGGGGGGGGGGGGGGGGGGCGGGCGGTGAGGGTCGGCTTTGCGTTCGCGGACCCTCCTTCAAATAACCCTGGATCCGCCCCTGTAGATAGATTCAGGTTTTACTATGACTTTGTTTTGAGCTGAGATTATCTTTGGTATCATCTATGTATGACATTATAAATACAGAGCACAATGGGACGATTTTTATTTAATCAGGCCAATACGATGAGAGAATAATCAAAGTCATAATAACTCTTCGTTTTGGGCCAAAAATTGGATTTTCCTGGAGTAAATGACTATTTTCCCGTACCTTACAATGGTCAATGACCCCATTCCTGCATTCAAAGTTAGTCTAGGTCTTTTTTCCTAAAAGTTTGTTTTTTTTTTGTTAAAATCTCTTAAGCAGACAACAACAACAATTTATAACAACAATATAAGATTCATACGATATGTTCGTCTTGTTGCTCAAAATGCATTTATATCTACGATATGTGCAGTTCTGGGCTTTTCATTATCCGATGCACTGTACAAAAACTCGCAATTTACGTCTGAAGATAGAATTGCATCATGCGTCTTTTTTATGCCGCCATATGTTATTTTGGTCTCGAATGAACGCGAGAATCCGCTTGATACCCCAACGTCATTGGCAACGGATGCCTTGACGAGAGGGAAGGAAGGCATCGAAAGCCCTATTGACAAGCACAGTTTTTAGTTTTACTACAATAACAGCCGTTTTAGTGGTGAAATGCAATATAATATATTTCCCTGCGTTGTTTACAATGTATTTCTTGCGCAATTTTGAATCTCAAGGAAACAGTTATTATTGCTTTAAGAAAAAACGTTCAAATGTGTTACAGCTGGCACGCTTTCCATTCAAGCAATTACCACAATATGGATTTTGAGAAAAAGAAAAATTTGGCAGATAATTCGAGAGGATTCCTTTTTTTTTTTTTTTTTTTTTTTGCTGAACGCGGTTTACAGGTGTGACGTGGTGTTATAGCGGGAAAGCTTCTGAATTAATATCAAATTTGGTCACTTTTATTGATAAGACTGCACTGATCGTTCCTTGTCCACGAAAGCCCACATTCGTTCTCGTGACATCCTCATTCGTTGACGTGATGGACTGATGTGCGTCATCCGGGATTCGTACCCGTGACTTTACGTTACCATGGTTGATAACGCTTTGGATGCCTCATTTGCATCCAAAGTGCCTCATTTGCATCCATGCACGCCCAATCGATAATCAGGGTGCAGCATTTCATCACACGCAACCCCAGTCCCAGAACATGGTTTTTCATGAACAGTTAATTTCATCATGTCAGAAGCCGTGTTTGAGAATCCGACACGGAGCTCGGGAGTTTGCTTACCCAAGACATTCAAGAGTACAAAAGGATAAAAGGCGGTCCACAACAGGCGTGTTTAACTTTTGGCGAGACCATAAAAAAGACAAAAAAAAAAAAACATTCAAATGTGTATACGTCATTAAGCAATTGCAGCGATGGAAATTTTTAGTGAAACATATTTGGCAAATAATTCCGCCGAGGAGATATATCGTTGTTTTTCTACCGAACACGGTTAACAGGTGGTATTACGTGCTGTTATGCCGGAAAAGCTATTGAATCAAAACAAGTTGGATCGCATTCATTGATAGGCCTGCTCTGAACGTTCCTAGTCCGATGGCTTCAAATGCTTTTATTTTCATTTTGTTTGGCACTCAATTAACGTTTGGTTGCACCTTTGACGTTGTAGAGAACGATGAGGTCCGCAGCAGCTGACACCACGGCGGTTTTAGAATTGAGTAGTCTTTACTCTTGCCGACTTGCCCCAAGTCCCACGAGCTCCCTCATTCGTTCTCGTGACATCCCAATTCAGGGGCCAGGTGGTTGTTGTGATTGACTGACGTGCCTCATCCGGGACTCGAACCCGTGACTTTGCGTTACCAATGTTGGACGCCTCTTTTGCATCCTGGCACGCTACCGAATGCTCCGTGACTGACCCGCCCACCCTCTCTAGGTGCGAGTTTCCTCTTAGGCTCTGTTCTCACAACTTTTAGATCGATCTATCACCGCGGGGAGTCTCACTAGATTACTGTCAGATAATCCCCCTTAAGTGTCCGTCCCCGCCTACTACAAGCTTTAAGGGGTAATTAACTTTCGTGTCCGCCCGGCTGACAGCTATTTAGCGTGAACCCCCAGGGAGTTAGGTCGATCCAATGTAGGTCGATCTAATCTATGAGAATGGGGTGTTATAGTAAACGATCTCAATTTTTAAAATTTAATGCCGGCAAAAAAATGAAATAACACCTACCATGACTCGAACCAGCGTACGTGAGTCTGCTTGTATGGAAGACAGCAGAGTTACCACGGAGCCACGCCTGCTTCGTTGTTCCGACATGATCAGATGGAAACTTTCAAACTTGTCACGGAGAGCGCCAGATTGGATGTACATGTGTAGCTCTGCTATCCCAATCGATAATCCGGGTGCCGCACTTCATCCCACGCAACCCCAGTCCCTGACATGAACGGTAAAGTTCATGATGTACAGGAAGTCCTGTTTGAGAACCCGACACGGAGTTTGGAGATTGTTTTATACTAAGATTTACTTTGGCTTTACCCATGATATCAAAGAATACAATGGGATCTTACTTTGGCTTTATCCATGATATTAAAGAGCACAATGGGATCAAAGGCCGTCCACAACAGGCGTGTATTTCTTTTAGCGAGACCCAAAGAGAAGAGAGAAAAAAAAAACATTCAAGAGTTATTACTGGTGCGATTGCAGCAATGGAAAAATTTAGTGAAACATATTTGGCAAATAATTCCGCCGAGGAGATATCGTTTTTCTACCGAACACGGTTAACAGGTGGTATTACGTGCTGTTATGCCGGAAAAGATATTGAATCAAAACAAGCTGGATCGCATTCATTGATAGGCCTGCTCTGAACGTTCCTAGTCCGATGACTTCAGATGCTTTTATTTTCATTTTGTTTTGCACTGGAATAACGTTTGTTTTCACCTTTGACGTTGTAGAGAACGATGAGGTCCGCAGCAGCTCACGACTCGGCGGTTTTAGAATTGAGTAGTCTTTACTCTTTCAAATGTCGACTGCCGACTTGCCCCGGGTACTGTATGAACAGTCTTAAGAAACAAGGGTCCAAGATAGAAAAGGAGGGCCACGAACAAACAAAATGTGTGCCTGTTAAAAGGAATAGAGGCGACGCGACTTTTGTAAAAGATCAAAAAATTTCTCTCTGATAATCCCATCAAGAAGATAGAACATTTTGATGAAATGCAGTACATACAGAGTTAGCTATAGCTCAGTTTAAGTTCTAGACCTGTGGCACCAATATAAGGACTTTTAACTAAAGAGAAATGAAATATAATTGTCGACGCAGATGTAACCTATGTAAAGTATACCGTATTTGTGCAAAAGGTAATTTGCTAAGTCCCACGAGATCCCTCATTCGTTCTCGTGACATCCCAATTCAGGGGCCAGGTGGTTGTCGTGATTGACTGACGTGCCTCATCCGGGACTCGAACCCGTGACTTTGCGTTACCAAGGTTGATGACGCTTTAGACACCTCATTTGCATCCATGCACGCTACCGACTGCTCCGTGACTGACCGCCCACCCTCCCTACGTGCGAGTTTCCTCTTATAGTAATCAATCTCAATTTTTAAAATTTAATTTCGGCAAATATAGGAGACAACATCTGCTATGACTCGAACCAGCGTACGAGTGTCTGCCTGTATGAAAGACAGCAGAGTTACCACGGAGCCACGCCAGCTTCGCTGTTCCCGCATGATCAGATGGAAGCTTTCAACCTTGTCACGGAGAGCGCCAGATTGGATGTGCATGTGTAGCTCTGCTATCCCAATCGATAATCCGGGTGGCCCACTTCATCCCACGCAACCCCAGTCCCCGACATGAACGGTAAAGTTCATGATGTACAGGAAATCCTGTTTCAGAACCGGACACAGAGCTTGGAGATGTGGTATGACGTGCTGTTATACGGGAAAAGCTACTGATTCAATTCAAGTCCGATCGCTTTTATTGATAGACCTGCTCGGATCGTTCCTGGTACGCTTCGATTTCTGAAAAAAAATCACACCAATGGTCCCTACTTGAAATTAGATATTTGACTAGTTGAATCATAGTTTTATCCCGTAACGAAAGACGCAATACGCTCTCTTAAACAACAAAAAGTTTCCGAACCCCACGCCAAAAGGGAGGGGGGAGAGAGAGAGACGGCTTCAGATCGACGGACCCCTCCCCCCTTTCAAATAATAATAATAATATAATAATAATAATAATATTTATTTATAGTCTAAAATCCAACATGTGTTCAGTAGACTTTACAAAAATTATAAAATTCAAATTAAAAGAAAAATTTTGCTAATGGTTATAAGATGAAGGGATATATAAAATGGATAAAAAAAAGGAGAAATTTAAAACTATGACTAAGAACAGTTTTTCTTAAGAAGTGTTTTTTTAAGAATTTAAAGATAATATTGTTTAAAAAGGTGGGTTTTTAGTTCCTTTTTAAAATGTCCAGGGTCCACAATTTGTCTAAGACTGATGGGTAAAATATTCCATTCTTGTCCTGGAGTAAACAACAATTTTCCCATACTTACCAATGGTTAATGAATCCATTTTTACATTCAAAGTTAGTCCCTGGATTTTTTCTAAAAAGTTTGGTTTTTTTGTTAAAATCTCTTAAGAGATTATAACAGAGTATAGCCATCAATGGAGGTCACGTGGGCTGAAGACAAGCTCAGATATCAGAATAATAGCTATAACTGCTGTTTTTGTCGTAAAACAGAATATGTTATATTTCTATAAGTTATTCACAATGTTTTTATTATGAAAAATAGACCTCATACGAAGAGTTATTATCCCTTTAATCTTTCTTTTTTCTTTTTTTAAAATTTGTTTAATATTTTTGATAGCCCATTACCAGTACGGTTCGCGATGGTTTAAAGACGAAAAGGGACCATTTTACTAGAACTTTTTTGTCTTCTGAGAGGGGAATTTATGAGAAAGCAGCTGCCGTCACAAGTTTGTAACATATATATCACTACAGTCCTGCAACCAGTTTTCAATCACCAAGTGGTTGCTGACAGGTTATTTATTGCTCGGAAAAGGGTGTGCGACTGCTAACCTATAGCTTTAAGATGGTCTGTAAGAGGTTGCAGAATCCATACTGCAACCTTGTTGCAACCGGTTTGCGACTGCTTGCCGATCAAAATATGCCATAGCTTCTTTAATTGTATATCTTTTATCATTTTATTCGAACTCGTGTAACTATACAAAAACTCAACCTTTTGCTTGCAATGTTTAAAATGAACTTAAAATGTCAATAAGTCACTCCAATACTAAATCTGATAATCCAATAATTTTCTGAGGGATAAGTGACCCAAGGGATACCGGTAACCAATCAATAGGTAAAGCATAACCTAATTTTTCCACCGGTATAATTTATTAAGAAACATCTTTAAAGAATGCATTGTACCATTATAAACAATAATTATATAAAACTGAATAGCAGATGACAGAGAAATGATACACGCACTAGTCCCTGTAACAATGTAAACATTCTCATGTTCTCAATTTAATTACTCTGCCAGTTGTTTCTTTTCTGAGAATAGCAGTGTCATTATAATGTTGTCAGTTAAGGTTTTCCAGTATAACCAGGAAACAGTACACATTTGTATTATGAAATATACGTGACACACAGTAATTTCCTGTACTGTGATATAACACTTTCTTTTTTTTTTCAGTCAGGACGTCCCTTTTTAACCAAGCTACAGTAATTGTTCGCATTATAACAATATACGCTGCACACTGATACTTCATAGTCTGTGAGGTAACTGTATAGTTATGGACAGCTAACAATTCCCGCGCAATCGTGTATATGCAATTCATATTCTGAAATAACTTTATTAAAACAAAACGTTCTTGATGCATGTAACGTCTGAGCTACACGACTCTACTAACTAACTACATGTAAGTTATGAAATGTCCATTGTTTTTTACAAACGTAATATTTTCATAGTCCATCGTTAGCTTGGTATAATCAGTCATAATTGGAAGACTTTAATCTCCCCTGTCTTTTCCCCAGTGACCAGTTGTTCGAGACGATTTATCGCAACATCTCTCGGCCAGTAAAGTCCATTTTCTTCGCATAAAAGAAATCGCTTGAACTTCCCATCTTGAGAAACTAAGTGTAGACGATGGTTGTTGAGGTCTATTAAAATAATTTCTCCATTATCCAAGCAGCACGTGCCGCCTGGACTGTTCACCTGGCCGTCCCCATCACCCTGGGTGCCATATTTGTACTTTAGCTGGAGACTGGAATCGTATACACGGATCTGATCATTTCCTGGATCTGTGATGATGATGTCATCATTCACGTTACAGTTGATGTATTTGACATATTTACCCCCTGGGTCTGGTGTCGTCTGCAGGACCTTGCCATCCTTGTGGTGCACAGTCAGAGTACTGCCACTGGCCACTACGTAGTGACCATTGCTGTTGACTGCTATAGCTTCTGGTGACTCACTGTGGAATGTTCTCACGTGATTCCCTGTCTTGGTGTAGACAATGATTTCATTTGACCAATGACATCTAGTGACGATGTTACCGTCATCATCAATGGCAATCCCGGCAAAGGCATACTTTTCTGCTGCTCTTGGATTTGGAATTGTGCCCTGTAGGACAAAGGTGGCATCGTAGATGTGGATTCTATTCCGTGACTTGTCCTCATCACACCAAATACCAATAAGGATGTCACCATTTGTATCAGTGGTCACGTGACTGATTATCTCTTCTGGAGACTTGGCCAGTTCTAGTTTGAATGATGTCACCAGTCTTCCACTCGCAGTAGGAACCACGTCTCCAAGGCAACTGTTGATATTGGTAACGCACTCCTCCATGTCGTTGGTGATAAACTTTAGGTGGGTAATGGCTGCGGGTAGGGTCGGAATGTCGAGCGTCTGAACGCTTTTGCTGCTTTCGTCACAGAAGGAGGCCATTTGCAGGACATCCATATCGCTTCCATGGTGAATGAGTTTTCTCGAGAAATCTACAGCGTCGTCCAGTTGGTTTTGGGTGGCGGTAGCAGTTGCAATTAAATCATCTAAAACTTCTAGTATGGCGCTCGACTTGGCATCTATTTCTTTCAAGAGATCATCAGCACGCTGACGGGTCATCTTTATAAGTAGTTCTAACTGCTTGTTAACTTGACTCTTTGCCCTCTTTCTTCCCTCTTCTACGGACGCTTTCTGGGCTTCGGCAGCGGTTTTAAACTGATTGCAGAGTAGACTTTTCTTCTCGATAGGTTTCACGTAGAGTTTGAGTTTTTCTTTTCGTTTGTCCGCAGCAGTGTTGATTCTTAGGCAGTCATGATCCTTGTGTTCCAAAAACATACACGTGGCGCAGACGAACTTTTCACACACTGGGCAGAAGATTTCTACGGGGTTTTTGTTGTTGTGGTCACAGAGGATATTTTGTCGGGCACGCAGCTCTGTCAAATATTCGTCACTGTCTATCTTGTCGACAGGAAACAATTTGTGACCACGACTGTTCTTGTGAAGCTTATGGTCTGAAGAACAATCTCCGCACATACTTTCCTTGCAGTCCAAACAGCGTTTCGTTGCCGTCGGTGGATTGCGGACATTTTTCAGACAACATACCTCGCACTTCTTGACAGCTTTGGCTTGTTCCACTTGATCAATTGTGCGTGATATGCTGACCAGAAGATGATTTGTTTGTAAATCACTTACACCGCCCCTAGGGAGGTCACACTGACGTCTACAGATAGGACAAGGGAAGCCAGACCGACCTTGGACATTTGTGTCCAAAATTTGTTGGAGACAATGCTGGCAAAACGTATGCGAACAGCCGAGGACCTTGGGATCTTTGCAATTTTCATGGCATATGCTGCACGTCAGGTAATCTTTCGTTAGGATCTTGGATAGAGACATGGCTCCTTGAAAAGATATAATGATAGACATCGAATCATTGGCAAATATTTGGTAGTGGAGGAAGCATTCATGGCACGTCATTACGGTATGCACGATAACCCAACATAGAAGTGCAATTGATATCACAGGCATGCTTGTTCTAGGGAAAAACACTTAAAAACTTTACCCTATCCCACTAAAAGCATTTTGAAAGACATTTCCTACCCAGTGACAGTTAAAGTGAAACACCTGTTGTTACAGTAACCTTTTTAATGCATTGTGGGAATAGAAAAAGAACTATGATAGAACAGAGGAACACTTGTGCTTTAATTTTTATTTGCACTGGAGGATTAATTCAGAACAATGCTCTTAATAATACTAAGTGCACAGATTACAAACTATTTTTGTTTTTTGGGGGACCTACACGAATAATTTAGTATCAAAGGTTCACTCTACTGGAACCCTCAATAAAATAATAAAATAATTCATCGTCTAACCCAAAAAAGGAATACACGTTTGTTTAGAGTAGTTAATTTTTTGAGCGACTTAAGTTTTCATTTCACTAAATATTTAAAAGGTGTGTATGTGAGTGTTTGGGAGGGGGTACACCATACTGACAGTAAAATAATCAACAAATTAACTATTTGCCATTCGTCGTCCAAATGTTGTATCAGTAATGTCAAAATATGTTTTCAGTCAGCAACAGAAATTCCTGTTACCTATTGTGCCAAGTACGTGGGAAAGATGAAACTTTCTGGCAATTTTTCAGGGGAACATACGTTACGTAGTATGAGTCATGACGTTAACCCCCTTGGGTTACAGTTAAAGTATTTATAAAAACATCCTTATGGCATTTATAATGTTCTGAATTACTACAAAATGTATTGGAACGCCATACAAGAATTACAATTATATGCCAGGTTCATACGTTACCGGAAAATGCGTTACAATTAAAGGCTCTTTTCATAATGTATAGACATGGTTAAATTTAACATAGATGTAAAATTGAGACATTCATGAATTTTTGTTTTTATATAAAACTTATGACCTGCCACAAAAGAAGTAACAATTTTTCATTTTCTAAAAATCGTTGACACCGCAAAAACAATCCCAAGCTATTTATTGAGTTGTTTAAAATAAACATTCCGGACATTTTATGAGACGTCAGACACCACGCTAGCTTACTGAGTTCTACTTAGTAAAATAACTTGGATGGATTGGAGAATATAGTGCCACGAGAGACAGTAGCGAAGGTTTAATATTCAGTGAGTTTAGGGTTTTTTGTTGGAACAGAAAAAAGGTAAATTTCTTTATGATTTAAATTGCTAAACTGATGTTTGTAAAGTTCCACTTGAAGAAACAATTTTTCCGCTAGCTTATTTTTAATTAATATAAACAATGCTAAACAGATTTGTGTACATGTATATTAAATGTATATTATTTGAAACAACGTGGTTGCATTTGTCGAGATACATGTATTTTCACATGCACACATGCTTTATATGCATCTTTTTTCAATGAGAATTTAAATTTTATAGTATCTATAGACTAACTGTATGGGCGCAGTAGACGACAGGGACAAATGGTGACATAGACTTGAAAAAATATTTTTCAGTGGGTTCTGGCCTTCCTAATAATTTTATTTGTCAGGAGATTGCAGTGGGCTTCCTTATACTGAATAGCTAACGGGACATTTGTTACTATAAACACACACACAGTGCTCTTACATAAAGAAGCTGAAATGCTTATAGCGCATTCAATTGGTGGAATAATGTACAAATAAAACAAATCAATCTTTTTTCTGGCCCCTCAGTTCTGAATACCCAGTATTATATCCATGTTTGCCTTCGAAATGGGGAAGGAAATCAATCAACGCCCTTCACCTTTTCTCTTTTTTTATTGAAATCAAATGTTTACCATCAACCTAGAATGCCCCGCATCAGGGGCGGTGAAAGAATGCATTATATTGGTGAGATTTAAATACGTGTAGCTGTTGAATGAAAGGTCAACCAAGTTAAAGCGATATAAACAGACACAAGCCTTTAAAGCCAAAAACGAAAGTTGTTGAGTAAGCGCGGCCTCGGCGTCGCTGTGCCCATTAAAATGCATATACCCAGTGTCTATTGTTACACGTAATTACATTAATCTACACATATACTGGTATCTCATATGCGAGATAACAGTTAAATCATTACCTATGTTTATTAGAAATGGTATATAAACTCCCTTTACCTTTCACATGTGACCTTGGCGACATTCACAACTGTATGCGACTGGAGTGTGTGGCTTAAATTCCTTTTGACCTAGTTACAGAATGACGCACAGGAAACGCCAAGGTAAACAAAACAAGTGACTCTGGTCCGATCTGATTGGTCGAGTAGTGCTGAATGATACCCTTCCCCCTGAGAGCCTCGTTTTAGCTGTTAAATGCAAGTTCAACATTATTTATTATCACCGTGCCCGTCAATAATAATAATAAAACTAGAAAAGCACTCCGAGAGCGCAGGCCTCCGCCAAGGCAGCAAGTTTTTATTATTATTGATTGATTATTGATCCGGATCACCACCAAAAACTCATCATCTGTTCGTTGGCCCACTTCTGACACTTCCTGAAAATTTCATCAAAATCCGTCCATAACTTACTTTTTTTATTATTATTGATTGATTATTGATCCCGATCACCAACAAAAACAAATCAATTCTAAGTTAACCTATTTCTGACCTACCCTGAAAATGTCATCAAAATCAGTCCATAACTTTTTGAGTTATGTTGATGACTAACGGACAGAAAGACAAACAGGGGTGAAAACATAACCTCCTTGGCAGCGGTAACGACTGCGATAAGCTAAATTAGATTTTAACCTCCAGAACATAAGATATAGCCAATCCAATTTCAGTGTACGAACTGTTAGAACTGAACATTTCCGAAAGACTTCTATTTATCTTTTATTTAAATTTTAAAAGTCAGTATTTCATTTTGGACTTAATTCGATATTAATGTAATTACTTTATTTTTATTCGAATGCATGTAGATGCACAATCTCAACCTTTTGACTAATCAACTATTCACAAACATGCGTCACTCCGATCGTGTACTCATTTTAAATATTTTAAAAACTGATAATCCAATGAATTTTCCTAGAGTTTAAGGGAACAAAGTATAAATCATAAAGCATAACCTAATTTAACCACTCGTATAATTTATAGCAAATGTCTTTGAAGAATGCATTATACCAATATAATTAAAATTGAGAATAACAATAATATATAAATAAATGGAAGATCACGTAGAGGTGATACAAACAGTAGTACTTGTACCGGTAACAAAATAAATATGACCATATTCTCAATCATATTACTCTGCCAGATGTTTTCTTTTCTGACAATAACAGTGTCCGTATGATATAATTATTTTTCAGAAAAGGTTTTCTGGTATAATCATTAAAGCATTTGTATAATAAAATATAGGTTCATTTTTTTTAAATCAGGATTTACTATTATTATTATCAGGTTACAGTTAATGTTTGCATTATAACAATATACACTGCACACCAATACGTCATTTGCCGCCATGTAACTTTTTAGTCGCAGCTAACAATTCTTGTCCTTATATAAAAGCAATGTAAAAACGTCATGCTGGTGTAATAAAACAAATCCTTTCACACTGCCCACACCACACTTGCTGAGTTCCATCGCTTAAGGTCGCGTCTCATCTATTTATAATTATTTCAACCAACTGGACGCCAACGCCGACGGCTATGTATCAATACATCTAAAGTGGAGGCCTGGACTTTCATTCCTAGGACTACCACTCCTCGACCTGGTTTCACCAAAAAAAGAACTTAAGCCAGGTTCCCTGGCTAAGAACATAATTACCAAGGTAACATAGTCATATGGGCACATGTCACCCTATCAGGAGCAGTGTTACAGCACTCCCGTGGTAATTCTAGTCAGCTAAGTCGGGGAACTGAGGCTTTTTTTTTTTTTTTTTTTTTTTGAAACTGGTGCCTGTTACACCGGTACACACACTGTCTTAATATATGTAGATTGGCAATGTTTTCCGAGAGATCAAAAGCAAAACCCATTTCATATTTGAATATTATAAATGACTACAGGAAACTCTTTCATTTGCAATTTAGATTTTTTTAAAAAAGATAACATCCCGACACGATATCAACTTATCTATCCACCCGTTACAAAACAGGTACGATATCCCATATCAATTCACCGTTAGTCAACATTAACAAAAATTTTGGATTAAATATTGAGACCAATTTTCTGGCGACAGCTCTTTTATTTCAGGAAACTTGTCTATGAGCACCCTTTTGCAGAATGAAACACTATAAAATTAATAGCTACATTACACTTTAGGCAGAACCTGAAAACTTCTATTTCATCGTTTAATATAGAATTTGCATAACAACCTTTACAGAATTCGTATAATAAGTATAAATAAATGCAAAGTCATTTAGACGTTGTAATTATTTATTCGTTAAATTTTGACACACCTTTTCTATCAGAAGGTTATAGCGCTCTTTTTGAAGCATATACAATACAATGTACTGGTTCATTTACTAGCTTGCGGATTGTTGTGAGTGTCACTGCCCGGCTAAAATACGAGACCAAGTGGTGTTCGTTTAATATACTCAACAGATGTCCTCATCTACGATGCGTTTCCCACATACATTATCAGTTTTAAAATTACTATCGCAGTCGGTAGCTCCATCTACCGGTGCACAGTGTAATGTTTTAAACACTATATAATGTTAATAGATTACCCCCTTCGCAGAATGGACCACAATATTTCATTTCTGTCCGATTATGTTGTAGAAAAAATGTCTAAACTCCTATTTAGTTTCTTTTCCATACAAACGAAGGCATCTCTGTCTGACCCGTTTTTTCCCCTAAAAACAACGCAACAAAAGTGTTACGTGTGGTCAACGCAAATGTTCAGAGATAGGCATACTGTGCACTTTAAATATAATGCCGGTACACTGCATAAAAGTGACAATCACTTTATAAAGTGCGTCAGCAACGAAAGTCAATCAATTGTCTTTTCTGTAGTACAAAGCTCACCACCTCTTTTCAAGCTAGCAGTTACCAACAGTTTGGTATGAAAACAGTTTTCAAATAAAAAAGAAAGAAGGTAAATAAAGCAAAGGCACCATGTTCTGACATGCAAAAGAACCAATCAATTATCTTTTAGTTTGTTTTCCAACAAGGCAAGCTTCAGTCTTTTCCAGAAAATGTCCCTTTTGCGCAGCCTTAGTTCTGGCCAGTAAAGACATTGGCAATGTCGTATCATAATTCTCATTGGCTGCGGTAGTTGGGTTTTATCAAAACGTTCTTCAATTATGAAAATAACCGAGCGAATGCTCCTTCCAAAGAGCTTAGTCTTGGCCAAATTCAGTTCAAAATCACAAACCTCGCTTTCCAGAAAGTTTTGAGTAATCCAGAAAATGACACTGTGACTGCCGTCCATGGCTCCTTCAACACTTTCTACAATAGAGTTGCCGGGAAGTAAATTGCGCTCATGGGTACAAAGACGAAAGTTCAATTGTTCGTCATTTTCTAGATTTGGGATCAGCTCGGCAGCAACCCAGGCCGTGTCTAGTAAACTATAAGAAACAAAGGCGTCAAATATCTTCACAAGGTTGATGTCATCATGTTGTGGAATCTTAGCACAGTATCGCCACCCGAACCTGACGACCAAAGAGAATCTAATGTCCCATCTTGCATAGTAAACAATACCAGCTATAAAACACATGAATAGTACCGCCCCAAGGATACTGACCGCCACCTTCGTCGTGTTGTTATCACACTGCCACCAGTCAGGTTTAAATTCAGTTATTTTAATTTTGTGTGTTGTAGTAGCACCAAAGCAAAACTCTTCTGACTCCTCATTGTTTAGTATTTGAAAATATTGCTGAAACCACCGTATATTGCAGTCACAGATTAACTCATTGTTGCCCATTTGAAGTACACGTAACGATACTAAGCCATCGAAGGCACCATCTTGGATGTTTGATATGAAATTAGAGGAGAGTGCCAAGGTGTGGAGTTGATTCAAGTTTCTGAATAGTCCCTTGGGAATAGTCAGCAGTTTGTTTTTTGTGAGAAGTAGAGTTCTAAGGCGCACCATAGAGTCAAACATTCCCACTGGTAGTTCCGATAACGAGTTACTTCTTAAATCTACATATGTTACATTGTGAAGGGATTGAAACATAACGATGAGTATGGAGGCATTGGTAAGACATAGCTTGTTACGATCCATGCGTAACTCTCGAAGATTTGGCATTCCTTTGAAGTAATCTGCGTTCTGTAAATCACAATGTAAGTATGCATTGTTTCCAGACAGGTCTAAGGTCTGTAATTGTTGTAAATCTTGAAGCTTTAGCTTTTTCAAATTGAAAGGGAAATACGGTAGTCCATTGAGGCCATTGACGGTAAGCTCTTTCAAAGACGACAGGTTTTTGAAGACAAAAGATTCAATTCCCTTTGGTTTATTAGGTCTAAACTCCAAGCTCCTTATACTTAAGTGATCCTCCACGTAATAACGCATTTGCTTAAGCAACTGAAAGAAATCCAACTTGTTTATAAAACGGAGTTCAGTTAAGTGTGGGCATGCGTTTAATGTACCAACAAGAATATTTGTATCCAGATTGTTGTAACTAATATCTATCTTTTTAATCGTGTTTCTGAGGGGCGTTAAAGCAGCTACTAGCGAAAAGGACTTGATCCCACAATTATCTAATCTTAAATCGGTAAGATTGGTGAGGTTTTGAAAAGTTAATGGTTGCATACCCCCTAAATGATTCTGTCCTATATCTAATTTCCTTAGAGATGCATTTTGAAGGTGAAAGAATGTAATCGGATCTAGATTATCAAAGAACAAGCCTATACGTCGCGCATTCAAGGTAGAAATTCTACTCTTCCTTAAACTATAGGTAAAATTCTGAAATGCTTTGCAGCTAACTGCACTGACTGGATGAGTAGAGTTCCCCAGTGTAGTTTTGCAAAGAGGATTAAAGGAAATGGAAAGTCCCCCGATATTCCTTATGTCTGTAAAAGTGTTGTCACATATCTGTGTTATGTTGTTCCGCCCCACATCCAGGCTGAGTTGGCCAAACACTGACAGTGGTTGTAAATCTGCTCTGCATAACTTGGATATACGATTACTATACAACCTCAGGTTAAGTTTTTCGCGAAAGAAGCTGGTTGAGATGTTTACGCAAATAGCGTGTATTTGATTATTAGATAGATCGATATAACTGATTCTAGGGTTGGAGAAAATAGCCTCTGGAATATTTTGGAATCTGTTGGCGAAGAGATGAACTTCTTTTAGATCAATATTTGTGTCAAATACACCCTCTGCGATGTAATGCAACCCAACATTTCCCAAATTAATTTTGCGCAAACGATGCAAACTTCTGAAGAAAGATGATGTAAGTGACGGTCCAAAAATGTCTCTATTAAAGGACAGATCAAGAGTCATTAGAGACTTCAGCGACTTAAAGATTTGTTCATGAGGATGATGCAGGTGGTTTTTACTCAAATCCAAGACTTCTAGAAGATCAAGACCGTAAAATGCGTCCTTATCCAGATATGATATATTGCACGAGTCAAGATACAACTTTCTCATTTTCGACAGGAATTGTATCTGCTTTTTATATATGCGCCTGAGGTCATTGTTCCGGAGATAAGCAACAGTTGTAGTAATCGGGAGATCAACTGGAATCATGCGTAGATTTCTTTGGTCACAGTTCACCACTGTGTCGTTTTTTGGTCCGTGGTCCACTTGGATGACACACTTGGCTGTCCTTTTCCCCGACATGGCTGCCCACAGGGAAACCAAGATGCATGTATGTATGAGTAAGTATCCCGTGTGAAGACTGACTCGAGTCATTGTTATGCTGAAAGTGAAACAAACATGCCCAAGTGAACGTCTTACGTTTTCAACATTTGTTTTAATTTCCAGATAATATATCAGAAGTAACATTTTCTAATAATGTTTTAGTAGAATTTAAATGCAACACAACAGAGCTGTATGTTTGCCAAAAAATCAAAAGGGAGAGAGAAAATCAACAGAAACTCACCGTTCTATGAAGGATATATAGAGAAGAGCGAGTTTTTCTTCCTGTCGTTGCAAATTTTAGGTAACTCAACAACTGGTTTGATTAGTAATTCCAAATGAAATATTCGAGCCAAAAATACATAAATAAGACGTACCTTAGTCGATTTCCTAACAAACTGTCCAAAACTGTTTTTGTTGGGAGCGAAAATGATTCTCAGTTTAGTGCTACAAATGCTTTAAAAGTAACTTCCCTTTCCTATCCTCTTTTATCATGTGACACACCGCACTGTAAGCTAGTCACGGGTGTACTATGGAATTGGACGCGATGTGTTTCGGATTCAACTGAATTTCCGCCCACATTACTATTGCCATATGTTCTCTCTACCCTGAGTTTTAACTTGAAACAAACTTCCGCACTTGAAACGGCAAGGGTTGCTTTGGTGTAGAGGTTACTTCAAGCATGGACCTAATGAGAGATGGTATTTTTTACGTACGGTTTAGATAAAGGTGGCATTTACACTGCTGTGTAAATATATGAACAGGTTTATGTTACTTGCTTAAGTGAGCCCGAATTATGTAATGATTATTAATATTTTTAACATTCAATATGGGCTCTCGTTGCAATAGGGCACCACACACGCATTCGTGACCCACAAAAACGCACCTGTGGGTCTTTTAATATTCTTTTATCAAAGTTGACATTAACACTGCTCTGAAGTATATATATATATATTTACACATTACCGGCTACGGTCTGCTCCAGTCTGAGGATGATAATTATTATTTTTTTAACTTTCAATAATGGCTCTCGTTGCAATGTGGCACCACACACGCATTCGTTACGCACAACGCACTTGTGGGCCTTTTAATATTCTTTTATCAAAGTTGACATTAAAACTGCTCTGAAGTATATATACAGACTTGACATTTAATATGGAATATTTTTTCCAAATCATAATTCATCAGTTTTTTTCCTATTTTGCAGACTGATAAATGAAAATAAGGATCAAAATCGTGTTTTTATAACTTATGATAAACTGTTTCATGTCATTGTGACATCAGTTCTTTAATTGACTTCGCCAATGAAGCAAACAAAACTACATTGCCAATCTTATGTCATACGACAACCATTGAAAGCGATATTTTGGATCTCCATATTTTCCAAATTATCGTCTTTAAAAGAGTTACACGACCCACAAAGAACCTTCATGTCAGTGTCTAGTCACAGTAACGGTCGCCGCTATGCCTGACCTTATCCTTCTGCTACCAGAGCTTTCAAGAGGCAAGGCATTTCTTGCGATAGTTTTTTAAGAATTTAATCTGGAATAAAAGTCCAGGCAACGGTTAAAGCTTGTCCAATTTGGTTCAATTTTGTTGTGGGACATGCTGGCCGTTGATTTGGCGACTATTGACCTAACCACATATTGTCAAAGTGAATCAAATATGGCGATTTTGATGACCAAGGTAGCTGCTCATTCCCTTGGTTCTGTAAGTTATCTGCTAATAAAAGTGCTCTGTGTGAACCAGCAATCTGATCGTGCAACCTAAAACTGTTCCTAAGGTGTCCCCTATCAAATGATAGTCAAGTGGTTCCCAGATTATTCCTTTATTTGATCTGGTTCAGGTTTTAGTCAATGACTTCCATTGGTGTTTTGGCACCAGTGTGGTATCAACTCCAAATACTGACGCTGTTAATGGCTCTAGTCACTTCAGAAGCGGCACACACCTTGTCGTAGACCTCTTGAAGATGTCTGTAAGCTCTTTTTTTGACCAATTTAGCGGTACAGGCGAAATCTGACCTCAATAAAGAAAACAACGCGGTTTCAATGTTCTACCCAGAAACGGTCATGGTCCCCAATTCATTAGAGAAACAGACTACGCTGTTCTGCTGTTTACAGTGGCCTCCTCAGAGGTGGGCTGGTATCTTAATCTGCTTAAACCAGTTTGGTGTTCGCTAAGAGACTTGAAAAACGCGCTTTAGTGACAATTTGCCCCTCATTTAAAACGGACTGGGTGGTTTTGGTTTAATTGCAGCAGCATATCCTGAAGGAAATTGAATCCTGTATTCTGGTGGTAAGATATCGATACATTGGACGTGGTGTCTGTGTGGGTACATGAGCCTGGGCATAAGTCTGTGAAATTGTGCGGACCGTTTCTTTTGGGGTAATAATCTGTCTGGCAATGTCTTTCTGTTTCGCGCCATTCTGGCACATTTTAACAATTTTGAAAAACAATACTTAACTCATTTTACGCACTGCAAAACCGACCGCTTGCATGCAAAATTTCAAATTCTTCTATGCAATGGTTGCCGACATATGGATACTTTTTTGACAGAACCATCCCTCGCCAAAGCCAAGCTTTGACCAGCCCAAAGGAGCACTACCCAGTTAAATCAATGCATATTTAACAATGCAGCAGTGCATCAGACTTGGTAAGCAGTTAATTGGTAGAGACACACCTTTCTTCATACTTCCCCAGTCAGATATCTTATATGAGATCTGAGTGTTTTCAATAAAGAACGCATTTTTACCTAGGTATACCTTTAAAACTGAAATATTCCATATTAAATGTCAAGTCTGTATATTTACACATTACCGGCTACGGTCTGCTCCAGTCTGAGAATGATAATTAATAGTTTTTCATCTTTAAATTGGAGTCCCTAAACAGCATAGAGACGATTGACAAACACCCTCATTGCTCTTTTAATTCAAGTATAAATGTGGACATGAACACATGCAATATATTTACTTGGGTAATGGTTATAAAAGTGGATCTTGATCACATTTGTGATTTAAGTCTCACCTCTGTAATTGGCTTGCTACATTGCATTATCATGTTATCAGATGCTTTTGGATAGCACCTACCTGGCTTTATTAGTCAACATGCTTTTAAACCAGTTATATATCAGTTCGACATATATCAATACAATCTTGGAAACGATAACAAGTATAGACAAAGGCCAGAGCCCGTTTTAATTAGGTAACAGGAAAAAGAAACTGAAAACCTGAAACAAATTTCCACTTGTTGACGCAAGTCTATGTGCTAGCAACTACAAGATGAAGGCAATGCTGTATCATAGCAACCACGAGGGACCGCGAGAAATTGCGTTATCCATGCAATAGAACAAAAGAATTTCAATGAGGCACAGCGCGCGCTACCTTGATAATAAGTTGTTCAGGCTCCCGTGGAGCTATCAAAACAGCTTATCTGAGACAATGGGCAAATGTTTACCCGAACGCACATAGCTTCAAAGGAAGATGCCGCGTTTCACGTCCTTCTCTCATTAGGTCCATGCTTCAAGTTCTCTCTGAATCTTTCGGTGGTTTTTCCCGATAAGATAAACAATTATTTCGCATTCACGTACATGTAAATGTTTCTCCAGCAGGACACGACTACGGCAGCGATATCCACTATTCAGTGGTACCATGGAACCATATAGTGTCATGGTGGTACCAGCCACGAACAAGATAACTAAATTCGTTTTCAGAAATGCAATAAACGCAGTGTCAGCAAGTAAAAGGTTCAGTCAAGGAGGTGCCAGGTGCGTCACCATCTTCTTAACCCGCTTAAATAAAAAGGATAGTTTTTGAAAGTCATAAACACTATACCAATTTATCGCCTTGCCTGCGACAATGAACAACATTTTTTAAAGAAGAAGAGTGCTTTTTACAAGGCATTAAATGCTTATACAAATTCAAAATATAGACGAATTTTCAAAGCCATCTTTTTTTCCTCCAAATAAAACGTTTTTTAACGTAAGTATGCACGATTTCTGATAACAATTTTTATGTTTATTACCTTTATTGTTCAGCATCCCGTTAGGGCATCTTTTTTTCCAAAGAAAAACACTTTTCTTTCGTTTTCTTATTAACGTAAGTATGCACAATTCCTGATAACAATGTGTATTTTTACTTCCTCTTCCTTTATTGTTTAGCACCCCGTTAAGTGACTCACTTTGATAAAATGTCAAGTGCAATGTCATGCAACTTACTGTACACATTTATCATTTTTATGTACAGACACAGATGTGTCTGTACATATAGCCATCACCTGCGTCTGTCGTCGCCGTTGCCGTTGCCGTTGGCGTGCACTTTTACCGTAAACACGATAAGTGGAAAACGGTTTTACGTTTTGGCTTGAAACTTACAGAACTGATGAATATTCATAATATTCAGGTCAAGTTCGAAAATCAGCATGATCGGGCCATTTTTAGGGAAGTTATGCTGTTTTTTCACTTTTTTCAGCATATATGCAACACCGTAAACACGATAAGTGGAAAACCGTTTTACTATTTGGTTTTCAACTTACAGAACTGATGAATTTGTATAATACGCAGGTCAAGTTCGAAAATCAGCATGATTGGGTTATTTTTAGGGAGGTTTTGCTTTTTTTTCACTTTTTTCAGCGTATATGCAACACCGTAAACACGATAAGTGGAAAACCGTTTTACCTTTTGGTTCGAAACTTACAGAACTAATGAATATTTATAATACGCAGGTCAAGTTCGAAAATCAGCATGATTGGGTCATTTTGCTTTTTTTTTCACATTTTCTCTGATTCAATTCTTAGGCATGTTAATAGTCTCATTATTGAACTAATTAGATATGTAANTGAAGGGGTGGATTGAGACCATCTTCTGGGTCTTCCGGAAGACGGTCAGGTTATTAAGTTTATATTGACTGGTATCTATTTTTTTTGTTGGAAGACCATAAAAATGGAGGATGGATCAACATAGATACTTTGGAATACTGTCAGAAAATATCGCTCCTGTTATTGACCTGTTATTGACCATGGTACCTGTTGTGCATGATTAAAATTCAGTGTTGACTGACAGTGCTATTATAAGCATTATTTATTATTGCATCAAAATTGACAAAATGACCTATTTTGCATCTTTATTTTCTGTTTTTTGTCTGTACATTTGACAGCTTTGCTGCCTTGTTTATTCTTCATCTTAAAAATGATTCATTTTTCATGAGATCATAGATGCTATGACCTAAAAAGGGTATTACCTTCAAAAACAATTTATAACGTTATTTTATTAATGTGATTTCATTTCAGCACTCAACATGTCAACGGGTGCCGAGGGGTACTTTTATATTACCACGGCTTTCGAACATAATTCACGTTTATTATAATTGCATAGCATCTCTACCTGAAATGGGTTTCACCTCACATATTCAGTATACGTCCTTGCCTCATGTGACTCTAGTTGTTTTTCAAACTCGTGCCATTTTCAAATTTG